GATAAAGCCTCCCATTTTTTTCTTAGTGTATTATTTTTTTTGTAATTGTTTGTATTAATAGTAAGTTGGCTATTGTAATCTTATGGAGGAAACAAAAAAGGGTATCTATCTATCTATCTATCCGCAATACTATCTGTCAACAGGCAGAATACATAGTCTGATAGTTGGCCGACCGCTAAGCAAGTTTCAATTGATCACAGTGACAAAAGTTTTAAATAAGATTGACCATTTGAACATTTATAAATATGCCAAACAGTATTTTTTTTTATGGGTGAAGATGAAATGAAAACCCTGCCTGCGCTATCGGTATACGCTGGCAGGGTACCAGTGAATGGTGACAGGTAAGGATGAAGAGCAAGTCAGTTGGTCCATAGTGATCAATTGGACAAGAATTAACCACTGTGGTTTCCAGGGGGAACCGCGTGGGGGTCGACCTGTTAGGGTATATTGCTAACAATGGGGAATGGGAGAAGATGGAATGGTAACCGCGCCTGCGCTATCGGTATACGCTGGCAGGGTACCAGTGAAGGGTGATAGGTGAGGATGAAGGCAGGTCAGTTGGCCCATAGTGACCAATTTAACAAAAATTATTAACTATGGTTTCCAGGGGGAACCGCATGGAGGTCGACCTGATAGGGTATATTGCTAGCAATGGGGTTGTTAAATCTCATTATTAACCATCCCTTTCCCCTCGCCATACAGTATTTGATAATTATGAAAATGCGTTACTTTTGCAATTTATATTAAAAAAGAAAAAGTTTGCATTACCATTAGTCGCCAAACTAGGTCAGACCTATATCTTAATAATAAAAAAAAAATTGCCCGATATCGAATCCATAACCGTTAGAATCTTGGACTTGTAGTAACTGAACTATGGCATTTCCAACTACGGTACTTCTCAGTGAGAAAGTTCGCTTTTTTCCCTATTCCTAACCGGATAGCATTGTAGTTTGCGGCACATCTGCACCCAACGGAAACATTTTTTGTTCCAGCCACAAGTTTACACAGATTTCCGTTATAAATAGGTCAATATGTCACTAACATTTCTCCATAGTAATTTAATATTGTATCCTACAAAAAAGCCAATTACATTCGTGATAAAACCAGTAATTTTATTTAAAAACTAAACTACTCAACCGATTTTGATAAAATTTCTATGGATCAACATTCAAATTCAAAAAATAATCCAAATCGGTTTTATAAACTAACAAACACAAAAAATATATTTCTCTTTTTTTGAAGTCGGTTTAAAATATGGATATGTCTTTGCCCAACTTCAAATAAGTTCATTCTCAATTCACCTATATATGTGATAGAATGTTACACAATATTGACAACAATTCTAAAACATTAATATAATGTTGTCTTGTAAATTATATTTATTAGGACAAAATCTTAAAATTATTTTACTATAGCTACTTAAATAAATAAATGATATCTTGTAAAAATATCATACCTACCAATAAATCATTATCATCATCATATCAGCCTTTAACTTTCCACTGCTAAACATATGCCTCCCCCTTAGGGGTTTGCCAGTAGTTGCCACGCTTGGCAGGCAGATTGGCAACTGCAGTTAGGCTTTGGAGATGTTTTAAGAGAGACACTGCTGTCCGTCCCTCGCTCTCCCTTAGTCGCCAATAATAGAATGAAGAAAATAAAAAATAAATACATAATATAAATAAATTAATCTGTAATACAAATAATAATCTTATATACATTCATTTGTAACCTACACTATAATTACCTAGCAAATTCATTGTAAAAATCAATAATGTAAACATCGCGAAGTTCCAATCTATATTTTTAACTGTATTGTATTACCTACTTACCCACCTATTACAATTATTACTATTTAAGCACATAAACTACCCACCTAGTTAAAATATTAATACATGCTTTGACTACCTATATAAATTTATTACATTTCACTTAAATAACATAATTCCGACACAAAGCTTACAAAATATTTATCAGCACTTTACATTAAATATAGCTACCCATACGAAGCCAAGTAAATACTACGTAATAAATGAACTAGAAAACTGCGCAGACAATGCCCAGAAGCAAAAGGCGCCAACGATTTTCCGTAAAACTCGAGCGCAGCGGAAAGCGTCTCATTTCCCGCCATCCGCCGCATCGACCAACCGAAATTTGGCGCCTAAAAATTCTATAGCCAATCGCTGCATTGGCCGCCATTTTTAACCAATGAACATTGAGCCCGCGCTCTCGCCACCGCGTCATTGTCAGAACTTGAAAATTAGTACAACAGTGCAGTGAACCCCGTCTGTAAATTCTCGATTTTCCACGGATTTTATAATAATCTTGTAGGTAAGTGTTAAAATAAGTTACTCTAATATTTACTATAAAAATATTACGAATTTTACCCACCACGCCATATTGTTTTTCTGGGAAAATATAAAATTTTCGCTATTTTATAACACAGTTCATACCAAACAACTTGTACTAAACCATACAACTAACATTAAACATAAAAAAAAATTAATATTAACCTATAATTTCAAAATGAATCCAAAATATGTTAGAAATATTCAATATCTGTTCTAAATCATGTAACAGTTCAGCAGATAATCAACTCATTCTTGCTTCGGCAAAATGGCGGCGCTGTTCTGTACGCTATTAATACATTCGTCATCTCTTTCATATGCATTCACTGAGACCTCCTGAGAGTGAGACAGTATATATTGATTTCAAAATACGAAGTATGCAGCACACGTAACTAGACACGTCTTCGTTCTTCGTAAACAACTACAGTGTTGCCATTCTTAATTTATTTATTCCAACATTTCAGGTTAATTCGTTAGTTTAAATTATGACAATAATATTTGTATTGTATAATATTAAGAACTGGTATAGATTACGGAATTATTGTTTTATTGCATATTATCTTAAAAAAAGCGAAGATTTTTAATTCGCCTGTATTATATATATAATTTGGTATATTCGCCATTTCTAAGCCGATTTTGATAATTATTTTTGCAATAGATACTATTTACTCTCACGTATTACTCACATATTACTTTTTTTTTATTGAAATAATTTTTATTTAACAGAAAAAAGTCTTAAATTGTCCTGTTGCATATAAAGAATAATAAAGATAATAAAATATATTTGAATTCATCAAATATTAATTATGATAATATTTGTAAATTCGAAATGGGTATAAATTATACGGTTTTTTATAAATTTCGCAATATAGAACGCGTAATTTATTACTGTAAATAAATATAGACATACAAAAAAAACAGCAGCTTCCAAATTCAATAAAAAATCTAATATCCGTTTTAGAAATATCATTACAATAGAGAAATCAACTACATACTCCTAATATGTTTAAGTTTAACACTGGATTTGAAGTCAAGATTTATTTAACACTAAGAAACGCAGGCGACTGTTGTAGCGATTGTACATTACATTTTTTTAATGAATTTAATTTTATTTTATTTAAATTATTTTTATTGGCATTTAAGCATAATTTATTTAAATTGGTAGGTATTTAAATTTATAGTGTATTTATTTATTTATTTACTAGAACAATTTAAATTAAAGTGATCTAAAATCGAAGTAAAATAATAATAAGTTTCATACATAACATCAATGGCCTCAAACTAGGATACTAGAACCAGGCAACGAAAACATTTGGGGGGTAGAGGAGAAGGGATTGTTAATACTACTGACTACCAGTATCTTTACTACCCTGTCAGGTCGACCCCTATTTGATCCCCCCTGGAAACCATCATGTTGAATTTGTGGATTCATTACGATAACTGACATCTGCCTTTTCATTCGTACCTAATATCCCTCACTGGTGCCGTCATTAAAAAAAAAAAATATCCAGATCACAGCCAATTTTACAAAGTTTATTTACTAAATAGACGGGACTGTAAGTAGCCGGAATTGTATATGGAAACTCTTTTGCGCAAAGCAACGTGCACACCACTGTGCCGCGCAAATCAAAACGTTGTTTCCATCTTGTGATTGCTAGGTGACGCTTTTTTGTTACGTTCTATTAAAATGCCTTAGCAATATTTTTCTTATAGAAATATATTTATTTCAATATTAATGTTATTTTGTATTTTGAAGCAAATTTTCTTTTTGGAAAAATAATTTACACTAGTTCTGTTATCAATAGGTAATAAAAATGAAGTTTGATTTGGAATAACACGTTTTTAATGTTAAAATACAATCTGTAGGTGGGCTGTTAATACTTTTTAGACATCTAGGCAGGTATGTTTATTTTTCTAGTTCAATCAATTGAGGTCACGATAAATAAATAAAAACTTAACTAACTTACGTGGTTTTTAGATAGATTTTCTTAGATACAACATAAGTTAACTTTCTAATAAAGACAAAATTTTATACGGTTATATTTTATAAAATAATATTTTTATATGTTGCTTTATTTGATATTATATGTTATCGTACGAGTCATCCTATTTTTAGATTGGTGATTTAGGAAGTCACCTTAAATAACTATAATATACTAATTGCCCCGGTAAACTTTGCTTTGCCTCTTACCGCCACTCAAACAAAAGAATCATTTAAATCGATCCAACGAATTCAATCACATAAATTCGTACAGAAGAATTATATAGGTATACAAGATATGGTGTTGATATGTAAATTGTGTTTTCTAATGAAAAACTATAAAATGAATAGATGTGTTTTTTTTTTTTTTTAATTGATCACTTAAGTAATTTTTCAAAGACAACTGTCACTATTTTTTGGAATAAATAAAATTTGATAATTAATTGAAAATACAAATTGGAGGATTGAAATAAATAATTTATTTAAAACAACTCCATAATTAAATTCATATTAAAATGGGAAATATAAGATATAAGCGCAAACACTGCGGTAGCGGGCTCATGTAATGGAACGCTAGCGCATGCCGTTCAGCGCCACCTATCATCGAGAAGTGGAAGCATGCATAGTCCAAGTTTGTAACTCGTGACGCCACTCGCCACTTGCTTGTTGGCTTTAGCGAATAGCGCTCGCGATTCGTTCGTCGAATCGATCTTGCTCGCTCATTCAGTCTACAATTGGATATACTGCCGTGTGGTCGTGTTGCGTTTATTTCGTATCCACCGCGTCACGACTTGTTTACGCTTACAAATCTAATCACAATTCGTATTCTTATTGGTGCGTGATGGACACAACAGTTATCTGTTTTATAATTTTAGAACGTTCTCTCATACAGTAACTGAATTTTGACCTTGTTTGCGCTAGGTGAAGAGAGCGTCGCGGATGCTATCTGTGAAGTGCGTCAGTGCTGCTGTGCGCTTGGACTTTGAAGATATGTCGACGTTAAGTGTGAGAGCTCCCGGCCTACAGGCCACCACTGTGCTAGACGCGAGGTCGCTGCGTGCTCGCGGAGTGACCACACTCGAAAGTGTCAGAAGGAACCTGTTTGGTTGTACCGACAGGGAGGAAAATAGGCGGTTCGTGGAAAGGGAACTGGCGAGGCAATCGGAAATCGACAACCAGAGATGGGAGTACGACTTCGCGAATGACAAGCCTTTACCTGGCGCGCAGAGAATTACTTGGCAACTGGTCCCTGCGTCTTCGATTCCTGCTGTCCTGAGAAGTGCACCGATAACCATATCTCCTCCTACGCCAAGTTCGACTCCCCAAGAGTCGAAAGTCGTCTCCAGTCCCGAGAACAGTAAAACACAGAAGAGAATAACAGGTCAGTACACATTATGGCTAGATTTGCAAATTATCATCTTCCATATTCAAAACAAACAAGCCACTTAGTCCAATACTAGTTAGACAAGTTTTTATCAAGTCCAAATATTGATTTATTACTTACTTACCTAGGTATATCGTAAAATAGAGTGTAACCACTATAATGTACCTAGTAATTTATAATAATTGTGGCATGCTCACCAAACAAAGCTAATGCTATCTAGAATACAGTAAAAAAAATATAGGTAGGGATATCACAATTAGTAAAGATTTATTATTCAAACATGAAATTAATAATAACTCATAAATGGACATATAATTAACTAATACAAAACTTTTTTTATTTTGTACGCGTATTTCTACAAAAAAGACATTAGGTAGGTATACCTAATTCAGAGATTGTTTACTAACTGTGCTAGGTAGGTATCGAATATACTTAGCTATATATAGGTACCTACGTAAAGTAGTATACCTATTTACGTATACTAGGTACCTAATTTATCTTTCAAAGAGTAAAGATCTAATTGTAAATGAGGTAATTGATGTGGTTACACAATACGTACCTACCTATCTAATTGGTTTACGTTTTTTTATTGGATGAAAATGGAATGGTAACCCCGCTTGCGCTAATGGGATACGCTGACGGGGCACCAGTGAAGGGTGATCGATGAGGATGAAAACAGGCCAGTTAGCCCATCATGATTAATTCATCAAGAATTAAACATGATAGTTTCCAGGGGGAACCGCGAGGAGGTCGGCCTGGTTGGGTATATTGCTAGCAATGGGATTTTTAGTCTCCATTACTAACAATCCCTTTTCCCCCCAATTGGTTTACGTTACGAGTATGTACAAACAAACTAATGCAATCACATCCTTCTATTAGTATTTATACATAGTTCGTACTAATACAGTTTATTGGGGGGAAAGGGATTGTTAGTAATGGAGTTTGACAGCCCCATTGCTACTAATATGCTCTATTAGATCGACCTTCACGTGGTTCCCCCTGGAAACCATCGTGACTAATTTTTTGTTGAATTCATCACTATGGGCTAACTGACCTGCTTCATCCTCACCTATCATCCTTCACTGGTGCCCCGCCGGTGTATATCGATAGCGCGGGTGGGGTTACCATTCCATTATCACCCATTAAAAACAATACAGTTTATTAATTAATACATAACTAAATGTCATTAACGTTAGTGCTTAGTAGTAAATTTATGGGGTACTAATTACCTTTTTTTTTTCTTAATTACTTAGGTACTTATTATTTTTAAAGCATATGTTAATTTTTATTCATAAACACAGTGTATTAATCTCCTGTATTTACTTAGACAATTATTTCTACTATAAACTTAATTTCATACATTTACAAACATTGTACATAACATACGAATTATTAAATTTAAATGGATGATTCTCCATAAAAAAACTACTATTACAGTGACAAAAATAATATGGGATAGGTCCCATATTACGCAGGATTATTATTAGGCGAGAGTAGTAAAAAGTTAGCTACAAAAAGAACTATTAAAATCGGTTCAGAATATGCTGAGGTTTATGAGAATTTAAAAAAAAATACGTATAATCTCTGGCCACAAAACGCAAGCCCTACCCTTTATGGCGTAATTGTTTGTGATTCATTGGTAATTGAGTATTGAGGTTTCTTGTACTGCGTATCCAGTTAGAACTAAAAACAATAGATAAGATTTCGGTTTCCTGCTATTTGAGATAGATTTCAGTGATAAATTATTGTATTTTACTTTCGTAATATATTGAGTCAATAAATTGTAAGTACTACAATGTGGGTTTGTCTATGAACAATAAATTTATCACACAGATAAACACTTAAAAATCGTGTAATCATATCTGAAAAAAAAATAAGTACAGTCAACATCTAATATAAACATTTATTTATAGTATAATCTATTTACCTGAGTAATATATAACAGATATTGCGTCAATAGGCGTCCGAAACAGTACGTACTTACCATTTTATAAAATTAATATTTAATAAGCAGTTAATATTTAACATGCGAGAAAACTCCATCAAATGTTTCTTTTTAATAATGAACGGTCTCACAATTAAAGAAGCTTGTATGTTAATGCATAATTTAAAAGAAATATCAAAATCGGACCAATTCAGGATCGACGAAGATTTTATTGTGTAACACAAATAATAAGACGGAATGAGAATCTATTTATGAAATTAATCAATATTAAAACTTACTAATTATTTGAATTGCTTTTATTTGTTCAGTATTATATTGACTGTACAATGTAATATCACATAATGTTTACCTATAAAATAATAGGTAGGTACCTACCTTATGTTCTTTTGTTATCAACATAAGCCTTGGAACACTTAAGTATATTGTTATCACCGGCAACATTTTTTTTATTGGATTAATTCGTACTATAGGTATAGATTTGCTAGCTATAGTTTAATATATCTATAGATAGTTAATATTTTTCAGGTAAAAAAAATTGTCATAATGACAAATTTAGGCTGTATATGGCTTTGTTCCTTTGCCTTTTTCAATGTGAATAAAACTTTCCGGCAACTCGATCTGATAGAATTCGAACTCGTATTTCTTTGACATCTAGGTTAAATATGTTCCCAATTGCACCACGGGGAAATACTATCATACTACTATAATTAGTAATTATTCAACCTACTTAAGTTAAGGCTTTGTAAATACATTTAAAACATTTCAATTAATGCTACTCGTCGTAAGATTACTTTCAGTGTGTTCGTGATTAAACTGTTACTTTCTTTTATTAATGGGAGAGGCAATGACAGCGGTCCATACAGCCCAGCGTTAAGACTTATTCATACAGCCCTAAATATTTTTTGTCCACTAATCTGATACATTCTAGGACCCCGTCATTTAGCCGCCCCTATTTGTAATAGAAATTGAAGGGAATTCGCCTTCTACAAGCACAAGGCCAATATGCAAAATGTTTTTTTGTCCATCAAGGTGTCAATGAGTTCATAAAGGGTCCGAGGAGGAAGCCTTTATTAAATAATTTACTGCCGCATAATTAAAAATTAAGATTTAATAAATCTTTTCTTAGTTCGTTTTTAATGAGTTTTTAAATCAAAGAGGGCGTGATCCGTGGTTTGACTACTTATTAAATTGTTTTTCTGTTTTAAAACACAATAACTCTTTAGTCTTTCATAGATTATTTATTGTAATCTTAATAATATTATAAAGAAAGTACTATACGATTATTTAAAACATTTTTTTTTCATACGAGCCTTGTCCTCACAACGCAATACCAAAAAAGAATTAGTCAAATAGGTGCTTTGAAGTAATGCGGCTTCCATACAATTTAATTAATTTTTGTTTTATATGAAAGTATGTAATGTAATTTGTTACATAAATGAACACAATATATGCTGGATTAACATTTACACTATGTAATACATAGTATGACATTTTTTATACTAAAGCCATGTGTTCACAAGCGCGACTCTTGACGAAGTAACTAGTGTGTGACAGTGACGCTCAATAGGTTTAGCAATATTGCACAAGGGGTCCTCATTGTGTTGAACTGCATGTTGAGTAACATGTAGGTAGGTACTCATTACCTAGTGGACAGAGTAGGCAAAGAATCACTACTTCATTTAAGAGTTGGCACTTCCCTTATATTGATAGAATTGTACTATGAATCTATGCAACCAATTACAAATAATAAAATAACTTAACCGTCTTTCAAAAAAAGCGTTCACGCTCACTTTTTATCCGAGCAGTAAGTACTTTATATTATTCCCAAATTCGTGTATAATATAGTATATATCATATATGTGTAAGTATATTTGTTATTCATATATATTTACTCGTTTATATATATAATTTTAGTATGTATGTATATCAATAATTAGTAGTACCGCATTCGAGTATTCTGACACTTCCCTATGATTGACTGGGAGCGAATGCTTTTAGCATTAAGTCCGCCATGTACACATATTTGTACTAATGAAATAAATAAATGGAGTAATATAATTTTATATATGTCCAAAGTATCCGTAGTAATAGGTATTATAAAAGACCTAACTAGTGTAAAATGTACAAATCCAATAAACTGCTTTCATAGATTTTATACAAATATTTTTGAACTAAGTGACGCGGACCTTATTCTATTGAAAACATACATAGCTTACACGCGTACAAAGACGCGGCTCAAAGCTATTATATTCACCAGTTGTTTTGTACAATAGAATGTGTAGGAGGGTACAGAGTAACGTTGAGTTAAAAACGTCATGACCTAGATTGTGTTTGTTTTGACACATTGCCTCGTGAAGTGTACGTACAGACGTCTCCCACACTTGTCCTATTTTAGATTGCACATGTGTAGAACACTTAGGGATATTAGGATCGTTGTAATAATAACTGTTTACTACTTTATTTACTATGCGCTAGTCTAAACAATAACAAGCAAACAAAACATTTAAACATAATAGTATAAAGTTAAATTTAGAATGGAACGTTATCTACGTAGTGTTTTGTGTATTAAATAGAGATGTCACTAGTAAATACTCATCAACAAAATAACTTCTTAAGTTACATTGTAAATTGAAACTGTAGGCTACCAACCTCTTTCAAAACTACATAGTTACAGAAAAAGAAATAGTGACGTTCTTGACAATCTAAATTGTCTTACCAATTTTACCGAACTATATTGTGTATCGCGACTTATTATATCTGGAATTATTTACTGTAAATATTATTCATTATACAATCTCGTACTGAATCTTTCTTTCTTTCTTTCACTCCTTCTGAATTTATATATAAATATCATCAAGTCCACGTCTACACATCTCCACAAAACGATAGTGTACTTCAGAGTTATTTGAAATAATGGTGAACAATAGTATATAACTATTCATGGCCACGTTGTCATATTGATGAGCGACCCAGTAATCTTAGTTGTAAATATTTCAACATACAATATGTGTAGTAACATGCTAACACGATGATGTAACCTATGATGATACGT